ACACGACTGCAGGACGAGGAGAATAAAGTGCTGCGTCTGGAGGAAGAGTTACGCAAGCAGACCTGCCACTTCCACCAGGAGCAGGACGCCATGACGGCCAAACTGACCAATGAAGACGCCCAGAACCGACAGCTGCGGCAGAAGCTCTCGTCCCTCAGCCGGCAGCTGGACGAGCTGGAAGAAACCAACAAAACCCTGCACAGGGCCGAGGAGGAGCTGCAGGAGCTGCGGGATAAAATCAGCCGCGGGGAGTGCGGAAACTCCAGCCTGGTCTCCGAGGTGGAGGAGCTGCGTAAACGGGTTCTGGAGATGGAGGGCAAGGATGAGGAGCTGATCAAGATGGAGGACATGTGCAGAGAACTCAACCGAAAGCTGGAGAAGGAGGCCAAGCAGAGCTGCAGCCTAAAAGCAGAGGTGGACAAGCTGAACCATAGAATCATGGAGCTGGAGAAGCTAGAGGACGCCTTCAGAAAGAGCAAGCAGGAGTGCAATTCTCTGAAGAGCAACCTGGAGAAGGAGCGGACCATGACTAAACACATGTCCAACGAACTGGACGTACTGAGAGTCAGAATCAAAGAGCTAGAGACCACCGAGGTTCACTTGGAGAAGACGGAGCTGACACTCAAAGAGGACCTGACAAAACTGAAGACACTGACCGTCATGCTGGTGGACGAGAGAAAGGCTATGGCAGAGAAGTTAAAGATGATGGAGGACAAGGTGCAAAACAGCACTGGCAAACTGCAGGCAGAGCAGGACAAAGTCAACACTGTCACCGAAAAACTGATCGAGGAGAGCAAGAAAACTCTGCGCTCAAAAGCCGAGCTGGAGGAGAAGATGTGCGTCGCCACTCGAGAGAGAGATGAGCTCAAAGCCAAGCTGAAGACGGAGGAAGAGAAAAGCAGCGACCTTCAGTCCAAAGTAAGCATGATGAAAAAGAGACTTCAGTCACTGGAAACAGTGGAAAGAGAGTTACTGAGGAACAAATCCAAAGAAGAGCACACAAAGAGTCCAGGTCCATACCGCTACCAGCAGGAGGACAACAAAGTGAAAGATCTGACCCAGGAAGTGGAACGTCTCAGGAGGAAGCTCAAGGAGATGAAAGTGGTGGAGGGTGATCTTTTGAAGACTGAGGATGAGTTTGAATCCCTGGAAAAGAGATATTCCAATGAGCAGGAAAGAGCAAAAGCCCTGATGGAGGAACTGGAGACGTCCAGGAAGGAGCTGTCCAAGTACCAGCTGGCGGAGAAAGAGGAGTCCAACCAGGAGCAGATCCTGTACAAGCGTCTGAAGGAGGAAGAGGCCAAATCCAGTCATCTTACCAGAGAGGTCGAAGCCCTGAAAGAGAAGATCCACGAGTACATGGGCACAGAGGAATCCATCTGCCGCTTGAAAACAGACCACACCACCCTGCAGAGAAAGCTCACCCAGCAAGAGGTCAGGAATAAAGAGCTGGCCCGAGAGATGGAGACTCTTACACGGGAACTCGAGCGATACCGGCGCTTCAGCAAGAGCCTACGACCGGGCATGAACGGTAGACGATTCTCAGATCTCCACGTCTCCACAAAGGAGGTTCAGACAGACCCAACAGACAGTTTATCCCCAAACTACAAGAATCTCGCACCACTCGAACGTGCTCTAGTCAACGGCAAGCTGTACGTAGAAAGCGATCCCGAAGACGAGGCCAACTACAATGAGATCCACCTCACAAAATGCTCCCCGTCGCTCATGAACAGCGTCAACAATCTGAACAACAATATGAGGAGAGTCCGAGGCCCGTTCCTCAAGCCCAGAGAGAATCACCATGCAGTGAATAACAAGAGACAGAATGGAAATCATGTTCAGCAGGGAGATGTGGTCCTCACACACAGTCCTGGGCAACCCGTGCACATTAAAGTCACCCCTGACCACGGACACAACACTGCAACTCTGGAGATCACCAGTCCTACATCAGAGAATGCTCCGTCCTACACCAGCACAGCGGTCATCCCGACAACCGGTGCGCCCCCAAAACAGAGAATCACAATCCTCCAGAACTCCATCTCTCCTTCTGGTAAACCCAAAGGTTCTCCTCCTCCTCCTGAGCGTCCCTGCACTCCCGACCGCTCCCTGTCTCCGCTCACCATGACGGCCTATTCACAAACTCTAACTTCAGAGTCATGTGGACCGCTGACCCCAGACCGAGCCCTGTCCCCCATTCAGATTGTGTCGGTCACCACAGGATCCCCCGACCGCTCTGAGCCAGCGGAGCTCCTGGGGGGCCAGACGGTGCTCCGGGTCAGTCCGGAGAGGCAGAACAGCTGGCAGATACAGAGGTCCAACAGCACAGGTCCAAACGTCATCACCACTGATGACAATAAAATCCACATCCACTTAGGCAGCCCCTACATTCAGGCTGTGACCCCCTCAGCCAAACCCATCGGCCCCTATTACTCCCTGGGGCCGGAGCCACGGGTCCCCGTGTTGAACAACGGCACCCCGGCTAAAGGCAACAACAAAATCACAAGCAGCATCGTGATAAAACCCACATCCGGTCCAATCTCTCGACCCTCACAAATTACAGTAAGTAACCTCTGTGACTGACCCCAGCTGCCTAGTGTTTGGTTAGTGACTGTAGTGTCCCAGCGTCCACCCCTGCACCGTCCACACCTCCAGACCCGCACATCTGACCTCTAGCGGCTAACCACTGCAAGTCCAGTCTGTTCTGTTTGATTAATCGTGAGATGTTTATGTGCATGATAATACGACGACACAGTTGAGGAAACTACACGTAATGAGGATCATACTCACTTCACTTTGAGGTTAAGTGCACTTACTGTTTACTGTATCATTAAAGTTCACTGATTGATGTACAACTGCATCTTTTGGTTTATTTCTCGTTGTCCACCTAGGTTTTGAGTTGGCTTTGTGTTAAAGTGAAGTAAAAGGAGATGTTCGGGGTTAGTTCACTCAGACATGTACGTTCTGTTATTGATCCCTCGGGTCGTTCTCCTGAGAGCTTCCTTCATCTTCAGACACAAATGAAGATGTTTTAGCTGAAATGCAGGAGCTCCTCATCCTCCAGAGGCAGCAAGGGTGCCGAAAAGTCCAGAGCATCTTCAAAACACCCCATATCTCTTCAGTGTTCAGCTGTAATCAAACCAAAAGCTGCCTGCCGCATCAGATTAGGGAACACAGCTTCTGCGGGCACACTAGAGTGTTGTTTGAGCTTTGCATGGTGACAGCTGAACACTGAAGACACATGCGGTGTTTTTCTGGACCCTTGCTGTCTCTGGAGGATGAGAGAGCTCCATGATGTTGTCTGAGATATCTTCATTTGTGTCTGAAGATGAATGAAGCTCTCAGCGGGCTGAAGCAACTCGAGGCAGAGTAATTAATCACAGAATTAACATTCATGCGTGAACTAACCCTTCAACATTAAACTCATTACATACACACACTGAGACAGGGTCATGACTGTGTTATTGCATGAGGTTATGAATGCAGAACACATTTAACCCTGAATAAGATCATGCGACAGGGGATTGAGCCGAGTCAGCTGATATAATGAGCAGAAGTGTTTGAGTTTGTGTTCATCAGGTATGAAGAGTTAGAAACATCATTAAAACACTGCCATCATCATCATCATCATCATCATCATCATCATCATCATTGTTTGGGTATTCCCTGTGGTGATGTGATGGAGATCTGCATGCTCGCCTGCTGCATGAGAAACACAACACAACACGTCAGCAGTGTGTGGACACCTACAGCATCACCTTCAGCAGTTCACACACTCTGGAAAACTTCTATTCCAACACAATCTCACAGCAATTCCTAACTTTTACATTTAGTGGCTAATTTGTACATATTCATACGATCTAATTCGTACATTTTAGCACGATTTGCTCTTCCCCCAATGATGGTTGGGGTTAGGGGTGGGGTTAGGTGCCACGCCTCCTTTTTAAAATCGAAAAATTTCATACGACTGAACTCGACAAATTCGTACGAATCAGCCACTAAACTGGCGAAATGTAAAATTCTTGTGTTTTCTGGTGAGATCAGGCTGTCTATTCTGTAGTTTACACACTGCGTTTCAGTGCTGTAGTCTAAATATCGCAATATTCTTAACCCAAGAAGTGTTTAGTAAACAGTATTGTGCTGATCTCAGTGAATATTGAGTGAGTTTCCCTGAAATCAGGCGTCATCATCAGCCAGTGGAGGAGGAGAACCCCTCTGGCCCTCAGTTTGACATGTTGGTTTGACACACTGGCAGATTATTGCGCTTGTTTAGGGGGAAACTCTCTTCAGTTTTACTCTTTATTTCTGAAAACCACTCTTTTACTCTAGAAAATACTGTCAAGACTAAATTGTATATTTTAGCAGTGTACAGCTGTCAAACACACACACACACACACACACACACACACACACACACACACACACACACATTTTTTCTGAATGAATCAGCTCTTACACAAACACACACACACACACACACACACACACACACACACACACACACACGTACATGGACTGAATCAAGCGTAAAATTGATTCCGGCTGGAATTTGTAGTGTCTGGAGTGTGTCCTCTGCTTGTCTGCTGAACACACTGCTGGAGTGTGTGTGTGTGTGTGTGAACAGCTGTGATCACGAGGCGAGACGATGCTTCATCAGCTCCATTAGTGAATCACACACTCATTCAATCTGATGACATCGTTACCCAGAGACAAACACACACATGATGAGACTGAAGAATCATCTCACCCACAGCTGCTTCAGATGATCTGATTGTCTTGGCGCACACACACACTCAAAGCGTTTCAAACACACACTCAAAGCGTTTCAAACACACACTCGAAGCGTTTCTCTCACTTCACTTCAGATTCTGGTCACATTTTAAAAGCAACTAATATCTGTTTATAACGCAGTGAAGACAGGCCTGTAGCCAGAGGGTTCGGGTGGTTCGATAGACCCGCTGTTCTTCTGACAAAGCCCAGAATTGACCCTATGAGCTCATGTATTTGCACTGAGTGGATATTAAATGTGTTATTTTGGAACAACTTCAAGCATATTAATTGTTATTTTATATATACTGAACATTAACTTTAAGCTATTTGAAATATGTTGTAAATCTTTTTCACCTGGGTTTTATTATTTAAATAGAGAAATTCTGAATAAGCTGGCCAGTTGGTTATTTGCCTATCGGCTGCAGTTTAACATGTTTTAACTGATTCCCAATTTTTTGTTGTTTGTTTGTTTGTTTTAAATGATGGATTATAATAAATGAGCATTTAAAAGAGAACGATTTTTTCATATTTCTAAAATTCTAATCTCATTACATTATAAATGAAACTGTAACTTGTGAATAAACATGCATGACAAACAATGTCACTGAAATGCAGCATCTGAACCTCCAATAACTGCAAAAACACTTTTGGAGAGAAAAAAAGAACCAGCTGTTTTAATAGGCTGCCCACAGTCCTGAACACACACACACACACACACACACACACACACACACACACACACACACACACACACACACACACACACACACATACACACACACACACACACATACACACACACACACACACACACACACACATACACACACACACACACACACACACACACACACACACACACACTGTGTCCGGTGCAGCTTTAGAGACTCAAACCTGGATTCAGAGGTCAGGCTCAGAGGCTCATTTAGTTTACACAGAAATGTGCATTTAGAGCAGGGGTGTCCAAACTCAGTCCTGGGGGCCGGTGTCCTGCAGAGTTCAGCTCCAGCTCCTCAACACACCTGCACTGATGATTCCAGAAAGCCTGGTAAGAGCTTGATTAGCTGGTCCAGGTGTGTCTGGTTGGGGTTGGAACTGAACTTTGCAGCACACCGACCCTCCAGGACTGAGTCTGGACTCCCCTGATCTAAACCTTTATGAGTTTCCTTCCTCTCTTGAACACTAAAGAAGATATTTTGAAGAATGTTAGAAGCCTGTAACCATTGAGTTCCACAGTGTGTGTGAAAGTCACAGGTTTACAACATTCCTCAAAATATCTTCTTGTGTTCAACAGAGTAAAGAAACTCAGAGTTTTGGAGCTGGTCCAGTAAGCAGTGGATAATGTGTGTAGTTGTTGTGTGAACTGACCCTTTACCTGAAATAGACCAGTGCCACACTCAGGATACACACTATTACTGTGACTTTAATAATGGCTTATTAATTACATAATGAATGTAAGGGCTAATCCGTGGTTTAATCCTGTTGGTAAATGTTGAGGAATAGAGTCTTACACCATAACTCATCAATACATCATGTGTTTAACAGTTAAACACAACAATCACATATGCGGGACAGAAAATCACTCAGAGGTGTGAGATTTAGAAAACGCCGTCATTACTGAGTGAAGCAGAAGCAGAATATGTGTAAACACTGCAATAGCGGAGCACTGTGAATACTGTCAGGACTGATGTTCGGTGCTTCCGGTTTTTCCGTTTGTTTACGGTAATCGATCTGCATTACGGGACTTTTATTCTGCTCTGTCGAGTTTTGATGTTGAAAGTTTAACTGCGGTTTAATAAAGTGACTTGTATTGGGATTTTAGTCGTTTATAACAAAACATTATATAGGAAATAAGTCTGTAAAATAACATGAACAGTCCTGGCAGTGGAGCTCATGAGTTTAGTGAAGTAATAAATCACTGCAAACTACAGATAAGAATAAAGTCGCTCGTGTGAAATATTTCAACATCAAATATTGTTGGAGAAATGACCCAGATGCCATATGCACTTCAAAATCACGCATAAATGAAAAAATAAACACGTGACCTCAACATAAGGAACACGCTCAGCTGTTGACTGACGAGCTCACAGCGCCATCTACTGGCCTCACACACACTATACAGCAGAGCAGCCCGAACTCAGTCCTGCAGGCCGGAGTGCTGCTGAGGTGAGCTCCAGCCTGCTTCAACACACCTGCCTGGAAGTGTCTAGTGTATCTTGTAAGAGCTTGATCAGCTGCTCAGGTGTGTTTGATTAGGGTTGGAGCTAAAATATGCAGGACACCGGCCCACCGGGACAGCAGTGTGGACACCCCTGCTCCATCCACATGTGTCTGTGTGTGTGTTATTAATCAGGGTCGTTTTGTAAATGGTGTTGTGTCTATGTGAAGTGTCAACACACACACACACACACACACACACACACACACACACACACACACACACACACACACACACACTTATTCCTATTAACAGAATGTTTTAACATCAGGATTATAATCTTTCAGTGTGTGTGTGTGTGTGTGTGTGTGTGTGTGTTTGTGTGTGTGTGTGTCTTGTGTTGATGGTGTTGTGTTTTTCTCCACACAGATGCCTCTGGAATCATTCCGGCATTCTGGACCCACCAGGATTCCCAAACCCAAAGTGAGAGGATCAAACAGCGCCGCACTGAACTCTGGGAAATCTGTGTCCAAACACCAGCAGCCCAGCCAATCCTGAGAGAGAGAGAGAGAGTGTGTGTGCGTGTGCGTGTGTGTGTGTGAGTGTGGAGACTCTACAGGTGTCCTGCTGACCCCTCACCGCTGCTCTCTGTGTGTGTGTGTGTGTGTGTGTGTGTGTGTGTGTGTGTGTGTGTGTGTGTGCTGCTGTGATGTCGGCTCCTCGTGTCGGCTCTTCGTGCTGCTCTGACTGTGAGATGTTGAGTGTTGGTGGTGTTTGAGGTCTGGATATGAATAATAAATGGACTTTTTATATCTGCACATCCGCCTGACGCTGTTATTGGGACTGGCATCAGTTGTAGCTCAGTTTCAGGGCCCAGACTGAGAGTCTGCTCGTATTGCGCTCACTACTGCTGTCGAACACTGA